ATGCTGACTGATAGTAAGGACGGAGAGTATAAACAAGTGCACTAAAGAGTACTGGCGGCCGGTCACTTTACTGGTCAAACCAAGCTTCGGCGTGGCCGAAAAACACCATGTTGGGAATGACGTATTAATAATGTGGCTGAGAACGTAGCTAGTGATCCGAACAGCAGAAAACTCCAACTGACAATAGAGCCACGAATGGATTCGCGGCCAGCTGCGTAGCTCTTTACCTTCTTCGTGAATGAATAATCCAAACGTCGAAAGTACATTTATTTTTTTCGATGCCAGAGATGAATTGATCTGTGTCAAGTGGCATCTGTGCCCAACATTAGTAGTCCCGGAGGGGCCGGACTCTTGGATAGAATAAACTGAGCCGTGGTCCAAGTTCATCGATCATCAGGCAAACCAGTTTCCTCAAAGATAAATACACAACCTGTGTCCTGTGTATATGCGCATCGGGAGAGCCTAGCTAAGCTTGCATCAACTGCATTTTTCAAGGCACATTGAATTACAATGGAGAAGGGCGACTTCGGGCAATGTACATACAAAGATGTCCTTCTCTCGGTGGCGATCATCTTACCGCTTACTTAAATGCAGTGAATCCTAGTGAATATTACACTGCATAGCGATCATACTGCAAATGTAATCATAGCCAAGACTTGCCTTCACCTTTGACTCGACCGGCGTAGTAGTCATATACGAAGTTTTGCAGCCTTCAAGCAAGCTATAAATGGTATTCATGTTGTTAACATCATCGTGTAAAGCATTGGGCGTGGTGAATACCAGACAGTCACAAAGAAGAGAGGTCCCCCCCCGGGACACAATCCAAGAAGGGTCATGTTGTTAGTCACCAGGGATAATACTGTGTCAAATAGGCGACAAGGGTTCCGAGAATGAAGATTTATGTAGACTCACTACCAGTCTATGTTTGTAAGGGATCAGCTGCCTTTCGGATGGGGAGAGGAGTACTAGTGAAAGCCCGAACTTGAGACAAAATTGGATGGTTCGAGCCTAGGATTTCTACGGAAAATCGATCAATAATCATCAATCACATACGTATTTCCAATGAGTAGTTGCCAGCAATTATAGATCGATGGTAGCAAGTGGCTGTTGTGCATTCCGGGTTAGGATGGTCATGTTTGTGTATCCTCGGAGTTTAGCCTGGGGATTTCGAGGTCTATCTTCATTTCCCGGTACTACGAACCTAGCGAACAGCGCAGCGTGCGCATTTAACAAGGTTCAACAATAATAGATCTTTCAGACCGCCGCGGTAAGGGTATATGTCCGTCGACATAGTAAGCCTTAAAAATAATTAGAACATAAAACGACGAACCAATTAGTAAGCGGGGCCGGTACATAAGTTCGGTGATGTTGATGATCCCTGCACCGACATGACGGCGCGCAAACTGTTCTATGGTTCAACGTTCAACTGCCGACGAGCCTCTGCTACCGATGGTGAGCATGGCTTGGGCCGTTTGGTTGAACCGGCACCTGATACCAACGTAATGGGTAAACCGTTTTTGGCCGAATGCAGCTTCACAACGAGCACAGACCCAGTTGTTATCTATGAAAAATATCAAGGTACAGAGGACAGTGACATAAAGAAGAATATCGTGGCACACATGGATAAGCAGCTATTGGCCGCCATCCCGCGAACATCATGAATTCAAATGGCCGACGTGTCAAGCAATTTGCAATCACAGGTTGTCCACGAAGGAGTCGGTGATGAATTGTGCCGGGTGATTATAGGTGATTGGCGGTAGTTGACAGTTCATCATCTACCCATGAGGTCGTGCTTCTGGCTGCAGCATGGGTGCTCTTCTGGAGATATTGCATTTGCAGGATCGCGTACATGGCATATAAGTCATTGTCAAAGCCTCAAAGGTCCGGGTAATAAGTACTCGCGTGCAACGGGAGAGCGTCGTCAACCTGATCAGAACCAAAAATCAGATATCAATGCGTGAGTCAGTCACCCGGACCCGCTTACTCGATCAGCAGAGTTAACTTCCAGGTACCCTCTACTAACAGCCTCGGAACTCGGCGAGTACTGAAAAAGAATGACCATAGCAATGGAAAAAAAGTCTTGGCGTTTCTGGCATTTTCTGTTGCAGATCTGGGGAAAAACTTCACCTTGAAAATCACGCGAATGGCGTGCACCGGGTCGTCATGATAGCCAGACGGTGGATGACAATAGTAATTTTGACACCCTCGGAGATATTGACTTTGTCACGGTGATAGGTGAAAGGACTATTGAACGATTCAAAAGGTTCTTCATCAAGTTAAGATACTAATAAGAGGGTCAGGACTCGCCGGTGGCAACTCTGCGAGTGTTTTGAAATGGGAGCAGTGCGCTCTGCTTCAGTGTTGGTGTCGAAGAACATTTGCAAGTGTTCCTGCACCGTCAGGTGGTTATTAGTGGTTCTTTCGACTTTCAGAGTTGCAGATCTGGAACTTACCATCGAATACAACACTATGATGATACTGTGATCAATGCATCGAGGATAACTTATACCCTTCGATGTCTGGAATGGATACCTGAGCGACTTAAGGTCCGATAAATCTATAGTCTACAATATTAATATTGTACGGAATTTCACAAATATAGTCTAAGTACACGATTGACCAAGGATTGACGGTCGAAAACATCTGCAAGCTGATCAGGACATCCACAGGGATAAGGATCTATGTACAAGGGCAATACAGGGGAGTCAAATATCTGATAGCTTGCTGAAGGGGTAGTGTAGTATTAGAAGTCAACGTCAGACTCTGCCACGTAATGTTCAGAGTCGCTGTCACTATAATCACACACATCATCCTCTGGGATGAGCCGATGTGCCTCATACTTCCCATTATTTTCAAGATGTATCATCCTCCAGCGCTCCGGGCGCTCATCCATGTCCTGCGTGACCCATTCAATGTACCTTGAACCATCTTCATCATCTGCGCTGAGGGAAATATTCCACCCGAGGAAGATGCGATTGTTGAGCTCGTCGTGCGCGATAAGTCCTTCATCATGTACATAGTACATGTCATATTCATGAAGCATAGCAAGCGTAGCACCGCGTCGAAGGACGTTGATGTCATTGTGGCTCAAATGGTCGAAGAGATAGTCCTCTTCGTCGATAATGGTTGCTGGTGGTTCCCACTGAGGTAAAGCGTAGTCGCCACCATATGTGTCTTCATCACTGCCCGTACCGTAACTGAAGACATCTTCATCAAGCCAATCGTCGTCTTCTTCGTCATCATCGTCGTCGTCATCGCTCCCATAGTCCTCTATTTCGTCGTCAGGCGGGAATAAACCTTCCCATGGATCCGTGTCAGCGGCAGGAGATCCAGTAGTGGATAATGAAGTATTGGGAGATGTTCCTCGAACCTTCAACAATGTGGATGCAATGGATTTGACGATGAAAACGGGAATAGGTCGATTACGAATATTACCACGACAGCATGGACAGGTCTTCTTTCGCAAAAGTAGGTAATCAGGGTCGTCGTCGTCGTCGTACATTTCATCGTCGCCGGGGGGTGCTTTCTTGAACCACTCTTGTAGACATGAAACACAAAGAACGTGGCCACATGGTGACAACCTAGAGGAATCATGAGTGACTTTCCATTAATGCGAGGAAATGCAGACTCACGCATATGGTTTGAGTAACAGCTCCATGCAAATTTGGCATTGAACACTCGTTTCGACATTATTGATAGCCTGAGTAAAAGTTCAAGGACATCGTGCGCACCGATTCCAAATACTCACATCTTCGGATTTCTTCACCTTGTTTTGTGCCTTGCTCACTTGACTTTCCGTCTCCTTCAATTTCTGCATGAACATGCTCGTGAATAGATTTATGGATTAATAGGTGGTGGACACACTGACCTTCTCATTTACACTTGCTTTCTGACGAAGCTCTTCAATTATCTATGAAACACACTGTAAACAAATCTGCTAAAGGAAAGCGCATATACGAACCTTATTCTGCTTCTTAATTGTCTTCTTATTGTCGAGAGCCACCTATGTCCTGGGTCAGACGCTGAGAGTCGTGAAGCGATTTCACTCACTTTCTTCCACGTTTCAATTTCTCGCTTGAGCTTAGCAAATTCAGCGGCTGCGAGCGGACCCTCGTATTCGAGGTGAAGGCCCACGAGCGCCTGCACACCCTCAGAATCGGATCCCGAGACCTTCGAAATCTGTCTGTAGGCCGAGTCTCTCGACTTGGACCTATCTTTCTTAGGCTTGTTCTCTACGGCAAGAGCCGACGCAGTAGCAGGGTGCTCCACTGCCTGGCGACCTTGCTGACGTGATTTAGACTTGTACTTGCGACCTCTCTCAAAATTGGTATCGTCCACTGGTGCAAGAAATGGCCTGCTATCGAAAGGTAGGGGAACTGTCGATTTCTTTTTCTTTCCTCCTTCGGGTTGAACAGGCTCAGATCTCTGCGCGGCAACTTGGAGGCGAGAATTCCACGCGTCCGGAGAGCGTGATTTCTTGCGTCGCTGACCATTTCTTGGATTTGGTGGTACATCTCCTGACGTAAGATTTGACCGACGATAACCGTTGTTACGCCGCGATGGACCTGGTGCACGTTCAAATCCCAGTGTATTCATATTGAGGTGGGATTCTGACAGCTGGAATAATAGTTAATGGTGATTATCCCGGCACCAGATGAGACTTATGTCCATACTATGATTAGTGATCAGATGAGCTATTGTTGGAAGGGCCAGCTATATATGCTGGCCTACGTTGTAGAAGAAGCTGTGGCCGAAGTGGTACAAAGGTGTTGGCCCAAGTGGCCTGTTAGGGTCGCCTTGTGACAGCCGAATGTCACAGTTATTGGAACGCCGCGGCTATTGAGGCAAGGGGGTGATACATTGTAAAAAAAGCGCGATTCATGATAACTCAGATTTAAAATCCTACATTTAAAAGGATGATCGATCTGCTAATCGCCTCCCGGGATTGACTTTACTAGCCATCTTTACTGTCCTTTAAAACTTTATCAACGCTTGCAATCATGTCACCCCCTGCACAAGGCCGTGTTTTGCTCGCATACTCTGGCGGTCTTGGTAAGTCGACTCTCCGCGTGTCTTGGCAAGGAGATCATAATAACCGTGAAGATCTGCAGACACCTCATGCATCCTGGCATGGCTGATCGAGCAGGGCTACGAAGTTTACGCTTTCATGGCTGATGTTGGTCAGGAAGAGGTACTAACATATACTAGTACTGCAAGGCTTGTGTTGTTATTAATCAACTGCTTGTCAGGACTTCGAAGCGGCTAGAAAGAAGGCACTCAGTGTTGGTGCAAAAAAATTCTTCTTGGAGGTTTGACATTCTTCTAGCAGTGTGGTAGTTGTTCATTGTTCCTTAAATTGCAGGACCTCAAACGCGAATTTGTAACACAGTTGATCTACCCTGCTGTGCAGGCAAACTGCATCTACGAGGTAATCACCGTCTTCGTGCATTTATTATGCGCTGATTGTTAAAAATAGAATGTATACCTACTTGGAACTTCTCTTGCTCGTCCTGTCATTGCTCGCGGCATGATGTCCATTGCAGCTAATGAAGGTTGCGAGTAAGCCTCTCCTTCATTTTTCACACTTCAGGTCAATGTTTAATGACCTTTTGTAAGCTATGTCTCACATGGCTGTACAGGTAAAGGGAATGATCAAGTTCGCTTTGAACTTGCCTTCTATGGTCTGAAGCCCGATATCAAGGTCATTGCCCCTTGGAGGCTTCCTGGTGATCCTGTTTCCCCAGCACAGCAACTTTTCGTTAAACATCTCATGTCCAGAGTTCTATAACCGCTTCCCTGGCCGCCAAGCACTCCTTGCATACGCGGCGGAGAAGCAAATTCCAGTGCAACAGACTGCCGCAAAACCGTGGTCAACTGATGAGAACCTCTTCCATATCTCTTACGAGGCAGGGATCCTCGAGGACCCGAACACCACACCACCAAATGACATGTGGAAGCTGACCGCAGCTCTCGAGGATGCACCAGCGGAGCCTGAGAATCTCTCAATCGAGTTCAAGGCTGGTCTCCCTGTAAAGGTTGTTATCGCAGACCAAACCCCTCTGACCGACGCCGTCGACATTTTCCTTGCACTCAATGCTGTCGCGAGGAAGCATGGTGTCGGTCGTATCGATATCGTCGAAAACCGTTTCATCGGCGTCAAGTCCCGCGGGTGTTATGAGTCACCTGGAGCCACTATTTTACGTGTCGCACATATGGACATTGAAGGTCTCACGCTCGACCGCAATGTTCGTGCTCTCCGTGACCAGTTCGTCACTATCGAACTGGGCCGCATTCTCTACAATGGTCACTTCTTCACCCCTGAGCGCGAGTTTGTTACTAGTGCCATTCCCGCAAGCCAGCGCACTGTCAACGGAACAGTGCGCTTGAAGCTCTACAAGGGCAATGTCGTTGTTGTCGGCCGTTACTCCGATGAGGTAATGAGTTTGAGTCATCCAATTTCATTTTGCTTATCCTCTTCCCAGGGTTTGTATGATGAGCATCAATCTTCCATGGACGAGCTCGGTGGTTTTGAGCCGACAGATACCACGGGTTTCATTCAAATTGAAAGCATCCGTATTAAAAAGTATATCTCCAGCTTACTTATCTTTTAACCTACTCACTTTTTCTTTCAAGGTGGGGTCAGGCTAATGCTCGCAAGGGCCAAGCTGGTGTTGAGCCGGAGGATGTTTATGGCTCCCGCATCTAATGAAATGTTCTGTACCAGATCTCAAGAACGGAAAAGAAATGTCGTGCTGATTGTAAACCGTGTACTTTTATTGTAATACATCTTACAATGTGCCGAAAGATACCTTGCATACTTGTACTCAAACCTTCACTGCATCGCGAACAAATCAATACTGCAAGTGCAATGACATAAAACATCGTCAGCTCCACAAAGACATTCGTTGTATCTTTTCACCACTTCCAGATAAGTATGTACTCTCAGACTCAGACTCACCTTTGCTAACTCCTGGTCCAATTAGTGTTTTTTTATCGTCCTCACTGGAATTCTGCACCGTATACGTAGCGGTGCAACATGGTGATCACCTCGGCGAACTTACACAACCCCGCATTTGACTATCAACCTACCATGGAATGAATAGTCCAAATCCTTGGATCACTGTGAGCAAGTATATTCGACACTAACCACAATTATCATGTGTCAGATACTGCATGATCAATCCCACGGATCAAGTTCTTGGGCTGGACCGCGCCCTCGTTTGACTGCGATACGGGCGATGCAGTGTGCAGTTCGCGAAGTGAAGAGCGCTCATGTTATCACATGTGAAGTGTACATATGCACCTGTCGGAATTGTGAGTCACTACCACTGAGGTAGCGTGGTTGTCAGTAGTTGACAGTTTGCCAAGAGAAAACCAGCTTCCGTAGCGACCTTAGACTCGTTGGTCGGACAATGGTTATGTCGTACTAGTAGCGTCTGATGAGCGCACTGCTGTGGGCACAGTCCGAGTGCAAGATCCAACGATCAGAAACGACCATATTAGGTCAATAGTTAACGTTTATCCCTAGAAACAGCACAGCTATACTGTATTACATGCCCCCGCCCCCACAACCTATGCAAATAAGTTACGAAATAAAAAGAAAGCAAATAAAACGTTGATCAATAAATCAATGTGATGTGAAAATATATGCAAATTTTTGCAGACTTGAAGCGGCAATCAAAAGAGGAATATACCTCGCAGAAGCGGTTGGAGAAAAATCTGGGCGCGAAGATAGCGCACGATCATGTGAGTATGCTCGTATTGAGGTGTGATGCAGTATATGGGTTGTCTGTAGGACACAAGGAGGCCCAAGTGTCTGGAAAGCCTAGTTAGCTTGTTCGGTTTAACTAGCACGGCACCCATACCTGGAAGACTCTCGCTGACGATGGGTAGTTGATTCCGAGCTTCAGCCATGACCGCTGCAAAGCCGCTAGAGAGAAGTCAGTGCATGGCTCAAATATCACCACCCCATACATACTTGTTCAGATGGAAGTCAACATGACTGGCAAACACATCATGAGAGGCGTATCGTAGAATATAACGAAAACACATGCTCACCAATGGAAGAACCATGGTCCAGCATTGTCCGTGACGAAACGGAAAGTAACATTATCCCCTACGGTCGTTCCCATACTTACGGTGTCTCTCCAGATTGGGTTAACGAAGTTCGGTGTACTGTTGCCTGCAACTCTGACAACGGCAAATTTGTGCTGTCCACTGTATTAGAATGGAGAACGACACAGAAAACGAAACGACGCACTCCATGAAGGTGCATAGGATGCTAGAAAGATGATTAGCAACAGGAGTGAAAAGTACCAGGATGGACTTACTGGACCGCCAGGAGCTGCACCCGTGTTGGGAATGGAAATCTCTACGACCTTGTTCGGGGGAAGCTCGTATACGCTTCCGCTCGGCAGCAAATCCGAAGGATGTTGAGCCCCGCTGAGCATTTGCAACAGGACCGGCATCGGAGGGTTATGGTACGAAACGTTGTTGATCGTGAAGAGGTTATTGACGTTACCGGCAAGTAAGTTGATGTTGATGTCTGCCTTGCCAATTCCAGGCACACCGGGAGCCGGAATGTTCATCAAGGATGCAAGCTTTGCTTCGTTGAATGACAAGACGGAGGGTCCAGGAGAGCTCGTAGGATCTTCCTCGGGCGCACCCTTGTACCTAAGGATGGCTTGGTTCAAGCCGCCTGTAAACGATTGATTTCCAAGGTTGGGTAGTACGCGAACCCAGTAATTAGCCACAGGCTGGTTCGCATGGACGACGACAGAGTAGCGCTGGCCAGCGAGCACCGGAAGCGAATCCACAGTCTCAGGGATAGTTTCGACGCCATCAGCTTCAATGATGGTCATGATATGGCCATCGATAGTGAGGTTATATGATGGGTCACAAGAAAGACCAAGGACGCGGAACCGGTAACGTTTGCCCTGCTCAACATTAATGACGGCAAGAGGTGACAGGGGTCCACCAGGGTAGCGCCCCAGACCATTGATGAGGGTAGAGTTGTTAGTGACGGGGCCGATGATCTTATTTAACACGGTCGTAGGATCGTGGTACCTAAGAAACTTGTAAAGACTTGTAATGCAAAAGGCTGACAAGCTAACTCGTACCAGTCGGAAATTGTCAGTATTGTGCTCTCTGTGCCAATACTGGTGAATGGTCGGTCTAAGCATGAAAGTAATAATACGAACCGTCATCTACATCATACAAATCTTTGTGTGGATCATCAGGGTCATATATGACAAGTGGTCCTCTAAGACCATCACCTGGACGTAAAGATGTGTAGCAAAGGTCGCGAAGATAATCAGGGGCACTCACAATACTGGGTGGAAAAATGCGAGTGATACCTATCGTACGAAATGCCTTAGCGAACCTCCTCTTTGAAAAATGGGGGACACGAACCAAAAAGTTCCCGTCTGGTTGGGTGCGCTAAATTGGTGGAGGAAAGAGCGATTTGGAGGGATCGGACATTGAGTGATGAACGAAGTGCCATCTGCCCAGTTCGTCTTCTGTTGGTGGATGCCATGCCAATGCTTTGAAGGGTATCAGAGACCTTACGATGGCAGAAAGAGTAAAGAACATACTATGCTCGTCGATAAAGGCATGTCTTTGTCCTGTAATTGGTTTACAACATTGATGCTAAAGTTGTCATTCTTCGAAATATTCAGTGTCAGACGTGAATAAAAAGCTTGCACAAACCTTCTGCGCCTTGATGAGAGGACCAGGAAAGATTCCTCCTGCGAGTGTAGCCCTGTACGAAAGGAGGATGAAGATATATAGGGGAAGATATAAGCGCATTAACTCACGACCGTTTAAAGCCGTCAGGTGCGATTACTCTGTTGGCGATAGTAAGGTCAGTGACAGGTCCAATAGTGGACGGGTGTGCGCTAGGCGGCGAATGCTGCAAGGGCTCAGAGTTAGATCTTGAAGTTACCGACATTGCATGTGATGAGGCAAGAAGACAGCCAGCGAGGACAGTGTGGAGAAACATTGTGACCAGGGTAATATAAACTATGCTGCCTAACACTGGCAGCCGCAGATGTGGGGATCAACTCGAAGGTAACGGGATAGACAAATCATGTGCCGACTACTTATATTTGTATCGGCCAACACTGAGCCTGTCACGGTGGTAGTGGCATTTTAAGTCGAGGAACAATCGGAGCCAAAGTTTGAGTCGCTAGACCACTTTGGATGCACGAAAAGATAAGCAGTGCACGTTGTGAAGTGGGATGTCCGGTCTTTCGTATAGGTTCAATAGTGGCTCCAGCGGATCAAATTCTCGGGTCCAAATCGAGTTGACAACAGGTGAAAGCAAGGTGAGGTACCGTGATTGAGACGACTGGAGATTTCACGCGATGATCTTCTTCATAAGACCGATACTGTAGGATAAACATTATGGTCGACTAGACAGTTAAATTTAGAACCTGAGTGACTAGCGGTTTGCTGTCCGCTTTTTCGGCAGACAAAAGCACATGCCGGGCATCAAATGAGGGAATGGACATTCAAGTTTGAAAGCCTTGGCAGGCCCTCTGATGAAGTTCTCCGTTGCTCGAAGCCGTTAGCTCTGACATGGCTGTAGTTGACAAGACTACTCACTAGCGAGGACTAGCATGAACCTACTACATATAGTAGTGCCGATCTAACTACCATGATGGTCAGGTGACTCGCCGCTCGGTTGCATCACAAAACTCATCAGTCAACTAGTCATCAATCAGCAGCCATTTGGCAGTGACAACCAATGATTCAAGTTCCTGGGGCAATGTTGAAAATCACTAAGTCCAACTCAACTATCAAGCAAAGAAAGGTCAAGGGGTACCCTCGGATCATCCTTTTGGCAGGGCGCCTAAACTTGAGTCGAGACTTTCAAGTTGTACTAGAACTGGCACCTCGTATATGGTGCCTAGCTAAGGGGCCGCCACTACTTTCTACTATGCTGTGCTCCAGCCTCCAGGCCGACGGCGGCGCACTAAACGGTATGTAGCTACTGAAAGTTACCGTGTCGTAGTTTCAAACTTATTACTCACATTGGTGTTTTCTCTCGAGCTCTCGCGTGTCCTGGACCTGGACGGACCCTCAACGGGTATTGAAGAACCGGATCCTTGTTTTATACTGGCGAACCAATGTTTTGGTGATTGCACTTGTTCTAATCTCGAAAGTACTCTAGTACAATTGCAACATATTATCATTGAAGTGCGCGGTGGGTATCTAAATGGTTGGTCGGTTCCATCATGGTTTGGCATCGCCTCGTTCCGACAAGTTTGCCGCACCAAACACCACAGGTCATCGTGATCGATAGCGCTCAATCACTTCTCTGCCGTCGATCTCGAAAACGGACTGGTAGGATCTTCCTCGAGCATTGCCCCATGTGAGAAGACATGTGCGATCGAGCGTCCACGTGAGTGAAATGTGATATGACCCCTGGGCCTGAAGCTTGAACTTTGCGATGCATTCCCTAGGAGATCCAGCCTGGATTGTAAATTTCGGTATTGCAATTGCAAGTTGGCCAGACGGCGAATACCGAAGAAGGTCTACATTTCCTAGCAGCTGCTAGATTTGAGTGCACTGCAGTATTGTGATCTCCATCGTGATGACGGCGAACCAATATTTGCCCACTATTCCATTTAGAGAAAAGTCCAGCAAGGACATATTCGAAAGTGACTGATCTTTGAAGTTGGCTTTGATGGGCTGAGTGTGGTGAACAGTTTTCCAGTTTCTCCATGCCACTGGACGATGCATCGATGAACCTCTCCCATCAGAACACCGCTTGCTATTGATGAATTGCTCGCCCCGTAATGCTACCGCCAAATGCCAATACCATACTGCTACTTCTTCAACATGACGTCTGCCTTCAAGTCATAGAGACGAAGCGTGTTGTCCTCCGAGCCCGTAATCATTCGTCTTTGATCGGGTAATATCGCAACTGCATTCATACGTTCTTCATGACCTTTAAACTCCCTTCGATGTGGTGTTTGGAATGAGCCGAGACATTTCACTGGAGGTTGATAGCACTGGGCACACTTGAGGTAGATTTTGGACAATGGACGGGTGTGATTAATGTGATTGTTCTCTCTGACTTAGCTGCGGAGCTGCATGTACTATTATGCATTCTAGTGACTGGCTCTGAGTTTCCATACTAGACGCCCAGGAAACGAGGCGGTTCGCCACTGTTGTAGAAAGAATGTCACACCCTGGAACGGGCACGGACTGCAAGAACCAAGGCCAGACCTCTATGGCGGAAGGCTACGGTTCTGTCTATCGAGGACAGACTACGACACGCGCGAGGGCTAACCGGCTACGAGCTAGGGCTTCTGCTACCGCGCCAGGACCCCTGCCACTCCAGACCTGTCTGACTGCCAGAGCGCCCCGTTCCACCGGCGCCTTTGAGTCTGCACCGTATACATGGGTCTGGCTTTTATCTCCACAGCTTCAAAAACTGCATCCCCTCCACCTATTCAATTATAATCATACAGCCACCATCCCCATGCGCTCGAATGCTATCCATCCTTGATGGCCGCATGAATATCATTGTTTCTCGTATCCAGCAGCTACTCCAGTATATCGCCATGTGACGTGCCCGAATGCATTTAATGATGTCCTATCCTCTCCGTCGACTCCCAAGATCTGCCTGCGCGTGTCTCAGGCGCCGTTTATACGTCACCTATGTCATGATATTTTCCAAAGATGTCCGTAGCCTTGCTGCCAGCGCTCTGCTCATCATCTTTCATCTGAGTCCCTGGCTCCGCCAACTTTCAGCCAACATGTTTCATCTTTCTGCTTCGCCAATCTGCTCCTAAAGCCATCCTCATTGGAATCCTGCATATACATGGTGCGACACGGTCATCATTGTTGCTATCTTCGGTGAGCTCACCACAGTCAAAACTATGCGAACCTTGCACGTACTAGGTATCGACCTGTCACTGCAGGTGTTTAGGAACGCTATCGATCATGCAATAAATGGAACCCAATCCTTCCTTGGACCCACGAACAACCAACTGCGTATCCCAACTTTGAAGTGGTCGTTTACACTGTACAGTACATCGACCTTCTCTAGTGCCTAACACTCTGACCCCAATCACCATGTGTCAGGTGCTGCGTTATCAATCCCGCAAATCCACTTGCAGCCAGTTGTTCTCAACACATTATACTATCTCCATCGTGAATTACAATTGGTGCATCCTGATGAGGACGAAACAATCATTGACATTTCTATATCGTAAATGTAGAATGAAGTGGCCCACACCAAAGCATTTCAATGCGTCCAATTATTGTCTCCACAGCTTCCAGAATGTATCCCATCGCATCCAATGGAGCAGCTGGTGATTCCCCGCGCTCGAAACTGACTGTTTATCTTGTATGACCGCATGAATTTCTCGTTGTTTTTGGTGTCGAGCAGCCACTCCAGCCCTCACCACGTCACTCGTTCGAACGCATACATATAGCTTATCACAATATCACCCCTTCGTCCCGTCAACTCTAAAGACCTGCTTGTACACCGCATGCAGCCGATCGAAGTTCTCCCTTCTGGCATCTCAAACTCGTTACCAATTATATCAAGGAGGAGCGCTTTTTTCCAGCGCTCTGCTTATGATTCATCTCTACTTCGAACTTCGCCCACCCCGGTCCAACTAGTTTCAGTCCTCTCGTTCGCCAATGCCATTATCGTAGGAATCCTGCACTACACAAGTACCAGTGCAACATGGTCGCCATCCTGAGTGTACTAGTGAGCCCTGACTATATATGCTACGCGAGCCCTGCATTCAAAGGATTCTTATCACATGTGATTGGGAATGTCATCTACCATGGAATCGATGGTCCCTAGCCTTACCTGGACCGCCGAGAAACCAATTGAGTTCATATCAGTTCTTTTACTAAAGCTCTCGCACCAATTATCATATATGATCTCCTTCGTGAATTAGTGCATGCTAATGAGGATGAAATGATGGAGTTTGCGAGGAGTTGCATAATGTTACTTTCAAGGTATGTATGATGTGTGATACCATGAAAATGTGATCCTCAATGTACACACGCAAACTGCTCGGAGATCATTGCTTTAAAAACATACAGTTACAATATGTCTAAGGTCTTGATATTCATAATCATAGTGTCAATCGAAACCGTGTCTTTGACCTGTGCAATGATATTATAGTCCGACGCGATCCTCTTGTATTCTCCAACGCGTTGCTGCGCTAGCAAAAGTGCGCTGAAAGCCTGCCCTAGGTGAACCATCAAACGCAATGATCGCGAGTAGGATTCCGAGTCAACTGACGAGTCCTCTTCTCCAGGTGATCCGCTGGACGACTCGTCAGTGTCGCCTAATGCAGACTCGGACTCGGACAAATCCCCTACGCTCTCCGCTTCGTCTGCAAAGTCAGGCAGCTCAAGGAGACGACGATCCCATGGACGGACAAGAAAGAATGTCTGCCGAGTGGGTCTTGCGCGCGAGAACTGAATGAGTGCCTCGTCCGTGGTGATCAGCAAGTCCCGAAGCCCATCTGCTTTCACTGCGTACGTGGAATGAGCGGCATGACCGCGCCTCCGTTTGACTTCCGTCACACGGAATGCAATGCAAGGAAGACGCAGTCTGCAGTTTGCGAAGAGGGGAGTATTCATGTCCTCGAGTAGGTTATACAGTTTCGAAGCTGAATCCACAGCCACAATATTTCGCAACGAGGAGATCCCTGTCTGAATCTCATCTTCAGACAATGATGGCAGGGAGCTTGGCGGGGTTGCATATGAGATAATATTGGCTGGAAGGCAACTATTGAACTCGGACGATTGTCCGACCCAGTCCAGGGAAGTGATGTCGCCCGATCTAGCCACGATCTCTTGCAGGAGCCGCCCGAGCGCATTTTGCTTCTTCTCACCATAGATTACAGGGAGGTGAACCCCGAAGATACCGAACAACGAGTACGCGATGTCTTCCTGCATGGTAGTGATACGTCTTGATGCCCATTGCAGTTTCTCTCGAGCGCCTCTCATCCCTGGACGGAAGGAGATCAGGGCCTGTGGATCTATTCCCGTGGCACCCTCCAACTCCTTCATGATTTCTGGTGACTCTTTGTGGTTAGGAGAGCGATCGTCGAGATATAGTGACCAATCCTTCTGATAAAATAAGACGACTTTCGGAGCGACGAATTCTTGAAAGGTCCATCCTCGCTCGTTCCAAACACTCCTCGCCAGTGCGCCAGAATGGGATGAAGGAGGGACATCGGATAGGTAGACTATGGTGAGCGCTGAGTGGCGGTACCAGACGAACATGGAATTGACCGATTCTTGAAGCTCGACGTTGTTGCTCTTATCGATGCAGCATGTATCCATCCATGCCCAGCAATATCCCGCATCACGAGCAACTTTGCAGAACGACTGCAATTTCGTGATTCCATCAAGTTCATTCAGCTCGTACAAAACTTTGTCCTTGATGTCGTGCAGCAGCGCCTCCGTCTCTGCCCACTTATGTGATAGCAGGACGCAACGGAAGTGCATCGTCACTACTTGCTTGATGCGTTCTATTTGGGGATCCGAACTCTTTGTTATGAATGACAAAAGCTCCTTGTACTCTGGGCTTGTTTTGAAGAAGTTTAGCTGGGCCGCTCGGTCGCACAAACGACCCGTAGAGGTGTTGAGCAGACGAAGTGGGGCGTTGCTGAGTTCAATGCAAACTGCTCTTCGAATAGCGTCTTCTACTTCGGATGGACAGATATATTGCTGACGCAGATCTACAGAACGAGATATGCGTTTCGAGATTATGCATGAGTGTCTCATGGCTTACCTCGTATCTGTGCTTCGGGAGAATTTTCCAACTTAGACAACATAATTTTGAAGGCCTCGATAGCCTCATCATAACGTTGCGCGCCACGCAGTGCTGTATACGTCAACTCGTATCCGATGTAAGACGAAGGATTGAGTTCGGTGACCTATGCATCGCCAAAGTCAACTTCGGGCTACGAAAATATATATGATATCGCACCTTTTGCGCATCGAAAAGCGCATCCTCCCATAGCATTTTCCCCGACTTTGCCTTGCTGCGATTTGCAAAGACGACATCAAATGCAGGATCCAGATCGATCGCGGTCGAGTACAGGTCAATAGCCCTGTCATAGTCGCTTGCAGCGAGGGCAACATCTCCGCTGGTGAGACAGAACGCCCTGCACTCCTCCGTGAAAGCTGAGTGAAATGCAGGTGAAGATTGCAGCCTGCGCGCCATTACGAACTCCAGACTTGCCTTTGCACCAGTCAAGGTAGTTGGCCTCAGTATTTTCGTTACTCAAAACCATCATGTATTTGTATGAATTCACGGCATCTTGAAGTTTACCTGCCCAAAGCAGTGCATGACAACGTTTCTGGTGTGCAGTGAGCCATAATGATTTGAGATTCCAGCCAAAGATCTGGACAAGGGACTTGATTATAAAAATTGTTTTTGATGTGTATTAACGTACCACCGCCAGATCCTCGTAAAATTCACGAATGTCCAATTCCGATGACAAAGCGCTGGAGTTGATAGCGGCAGTGAAATGGTCAGCGGCTTCGTGGTGATGTGCACCATCTAAGGCTTTGATTCCGAGTTGAACACGTAGATATGCCTAATATGCAAGTTACAAAAATTAGTATTGATGATGCAGCGTAGCTACATGATACTTACTTGCACAATATGACATGCGCGAGTATCGGCATTTGGACAACCGGCAGCGAGTTCTTTGAGGAGCAGGTTTGCTTCGTCATATTGATCTGCATTGAAGAGCGCGATGGCCTGAAATACACGATGAAGCAGAGAGTATGTGGGGCAAATATAACATACTTTGATTAAGAGCAGGAAATAGAGGATTTGTAAATCATGGTTCGTGTACATTGATGCCACATCAAATGATGCCCTTGCATCCGCGATGCGGCCTTTTCCACATAAGGCAATACCCTTAGAGATATGGCCTGTCAATGAGGGCTGAATGCTGATGGACTATGTCACCGTCGAGTTAGTCTTTCATACGAAGGCGATGATCGGTCAGTGAATCTCACCTTGTTTGCATCCTGAAGGGCGTGGTCCCAGTCGTATTTTCGCGCCATAAGGAATGAGCGATGGGCATAGGAAATAAAGTTATTGGCATTTGCGTCGATCTCTTGCATGAGTAGTTCTTCTGCGGTAGACAAGTCCCCATCTAGTAGTATGCATGCATCACGGGCTGTTGTGGAGGCTAGGATCTGCACGAAACATGTTCGAATCATGGTATATGAGTCAAGGATGACAACATGCCTTTGAACTAATACCCTGAGGTACTGCCCACTCTGAGATATTATAGCCATCACCGTTGAGGATGTGGTGACCGTCCACAGAGAAAGTGGCGCATGTCATAAAAGATGAGCGCTTGAAGATGGCAATGATTTGGCGATCTGAGAGCTGCCAGAGACGAACATGGTCGTCATCAGATGCGGAGGCGACAAGTGTGCCAGTAGGATCAATAGTAATAGCATTGATATGGTTAGAGTGGCTCGTCCAAGGATCACCGACCTGCTGCCAGGTTGTTGTGTCCCATTCACATAAGGTAGAATTAATATAACAGGCAGAACTTCCCCGATGAACAGGATAATCGCCACATGCGCATGTGAGAAGACGTGTACCATCGGGCGTCCATGCACATGATGTAATTGTAAGTGACCGGTTGTACCATTGGTGAGGCCTGTGAGGTTTGCAATTGAAGGATGCGACGCGTTCCCTTGTGCCTGAGTTATAAATTTGGATATTGTCTGAGACTGTTGCGATGGCAAGAAGTCCTCCAGACGGCGAATACCGTACGCGGGAGACAAATGCACCACACTTGATTGGACTTCCTTGCAGCTGCCAGGTATTGGTGTCCCACAGTTTCACTCCGTCATATGAAGCAGTGGCAAGCACTGTCCCATTAGGAGAAAAGTCCAACGAGGTGGTCCTTAAAGAGGAGTGGACTTCGATTCTGGTGAGTAAATCGCCAGTTTCTCCGTGCCAGACGATGACTTCTCCACAGTGATCACGACTTGCTATCAATTGTCCATCTCGTGATACTGCCAATTCCCGCACCCCGCTGCTATGTCCCTCCATCTTCTTTAGCACAATACCTGTTTCCATGTCCCACATATGAAGTGTGTTGTCATCCGAGCCCGTAACCATCCGTCGTTTATCGGGGAACACTGCGATTGCATTTACGTATCCTTCATGGCCGGTGAACTCTCGCAGGGGCATGGTGATTGGAATGAGGTTCGACATTGCATTGGAGGTTGATGGTGTTGAGTACGGTGGAGGTGGACTTTGAAAGGATTGTGGATGTCTTCCTGCAGAGGTGTGTGTATTGTGCGTTTTATGGTGCTTCACTGCGTCCACCGGCCTCGTTTCAATAGACGCCCAGGACACTTAAGGCTGTTTCTCTCCACGCCTCCATACACAACTGTTACGGCAAGAATACTTTCTACTGTCATACCCTCCTTCGAGAATCGACAGTATACCCTCCCAGCGCCTCAGTGCATACATGCTTCCGATTCTTGTCTCTATCTTTCAGGATGTATCCCATCGCACCCAATCGACAGTTGGTGCTTTCCAGCGCTCGAATCTGACTATTTGTCTTGTTGTTTTTTCGTGTCAAGCAGCTACTGCGGCACATCGCCATGTCACTCCTTCGAACGGATGCATATAGCTTACTGCAATATCACTCTTTCATACCGTTTCTCCCAATCCTACTTGTGCATAGGATGCAACGGAATCTCGTGGTACAGGCTCAGAATATCCTTACCATCACCATACCGCCAATGCCCGCACCTCATTGCGATGCCCCTCCATCTTCAATGCAATTCCCACAATTGCATAATCTTGTCACAGGAGCATATGTTGTCTATCAGAAAAAACTGTGACTGCGGTTACGCCGCTCTCACAATTTGCAACAACTCGACAGAGTGTGGTGCTTGAAATGAGCTTCGACATCTTACTGGATGCCGATGATGTGGAGCACGGTCGAGATGGACTTTGGAGGGATTTTGTGTATTTCTTTAGGCTGCAGAGGTGCGTGTATTGTGCTGCTTCACCCCATTGACTTGTGTTTCCATAGACACCTTCGTAGGACATAACCCCGTTCACTTCCACACCTCCATCAAGGTTACAACAAGAACTTGCCGCTATCATATATACCTTTCTGGACAGTACAACAGCGCCTCTACACATCCAACACGTATGACATTGCATCCGATTTGTAAAGTCCAACGATCCGGCTGATAATGTCTGAGACCTGTC